TATTGAAAATTCTAAAATAAGCAAAGGTCTCCTGCAAAGGCATTTTCATTAACACAGTGCTGTGTAATCTTCACTTCTAGAGCCAAAAAGTCAGTACATCTGACACTACATTTTGAGAACACAAATATTTGCTATGAGTTGGTGTTCATGAGTGACTGATCAAACTTACACTCAAACTCCACTACATAATGATTATTTCCTTCTTCCAAGAAAGGGTAAATCAGAGATCATGTTCTTCCCCCCACCCCCATGTTCATGAAAAGGGTACATCATCATAAAAGCAACTTGCTTCTTCAAAGCTCAAGCAATCCAGCAACAAGAAAGGATGAGGATGGTATTAAGTTATGTTGCTTAACTGCAGAAGTTAACCATTAGCAAAAATTAAAGCAATAAAGCTGCTTAAACAGACAACCATAAGATAGAGACAGGATGATCATTCCCCTACCTTCATATGCAATGTCAGAAATAAGTTCTGAAACAACATCAATATAATTTTAAAACTATTTAAAAGACTTTGTTTAAAATAAATAAATTTAAAAGTGTTTCTTTGTGTAGCACACTTCTTGCATAAAACCTAAGACATTTCCTACCTTTCCCTGAGCTTTGCCTTCGTTACAGAGTTTCCCTAGGTAAGCTTCCAACTACACTGCAAAACAGAATTATTAGCCAGCTAACTGGGCTTGACCACACTGTTTGGCAGGGGACTGATAACAGGACTGAAACGACAAAAGCAAGCTTTCCATTCCCATCATCCTTGGCCCAATCAGAGATTGGACCAATCCTCAAATTTAATTTACAGCAAACTAAGAACCGACATAAGTTGTATTGGCTGGGTTAGCTCTCCACAGCAGTTCCCCTGACCAGAGATCACCACAGCACTGAATTTCACCATCCTTACCTCTCTCCCACCCAAAAGTTCTCTGTTATGGACAGGCTAAGAAGAGATGGCACAAAGCCAACAATGCCAGCCTTGTGTCACATCAGATTGCTTCGGGATTTCCAACCTTACCTATTCTGTAAGCACAGCTTTTTATCTCTGCGCACCAACTAAGCACCACCAAAGTAACAACCAAATCTTATATTTAGAATCATTTTAATGGCAACTATATTGTAAGCCATGGAAACTACTGCTATAATGCAAGTTTGTGAGAAGAAAAGGAATAGAAGAAAAAAGACAACACAAGACTAAAAATTAATACAAGTATGTTAGCTTAGATTAACACCTCTTTTCTCCTACCGTGCAAGAGTGTTGTAGACAGTACGCAAACTGAGTCGAAGTTGTGAAAAGGATCAAGGTGGCAGGCAGTAGTTCGCACTGCAGTTTTGGGTACATGCTCCATACAGATGTGAAACCACAGAAGACAACACTGAAAGGCCCTTAAAAATTATGTCACTAAAATCCTGAGTTAATAAAAAAATTTAGTCTTCAAGGGCTGTAACAGATGACATTTTTAAAGCCGGCAAATGTTCTCTCTTCTGACAAGGACAACTCCATTGTTTAAAACACCACTAAGCTAGAAACTCTATGCATGTAGGTAGCTCTACACACACACAGAGTTATTTAATACAACTTCAGAAGTTATTTTATGTTACAGCTTATATTATCCAGCTGTGGACTGTAAAATTATATACAGTGTACTAAGGTAAAAAATAAATAGCTAATTAAGCAAAAATAGGCCTTTATTGACAATATTTTTAATTTTGCTTAACTAAGTTTTCCTCTGTGTTTTTATTAAAAAGCAAAAAGACAAAAGCTTAGTTTGTTGAATACAGTATAAAGCTTTCTTTTCCTTAAGAATCTTGCAAGGAAGGTTTTACAAGTTGGGAAATCTTTGGCAGTTCTGACATTTTTGACTCTACCTGAATAACCGCAATAAAACATCAACTAATACTGAGAACCAGGAAAATGATGCCTCTATGGTAAATATGAATTTGTACATGCTATTAAAGAAGAAAGGGACTTAACAGATCAAAAGAATAAATTTTCCCACCTCTGTACTCTCTCCAACTATCAACCCACTCCTCCCACCAGCAGACAGTACAAATTGGACGCCACTGAAAACTATGCTTTTAATAGGCTTATAGACTGCTACCATTCTGGATACTGGTTTGAAGCGATCCAGCTCCTGCCTGGAAAATTCATCTACACTATCTCCTGCCAAAAAAAAAAAAAAAAAAAAGAAGCTAAGCAATGAGATAGCCAGAGAATACAGCACTAGTCAGTCCCAATTACTGCAATAGTTCTCAAAAATTCCCAGTTTTCAAAACTGTGCAAAAATTTCCATATCCTCTTTTTAATCCAAACATTCTTTATTCAAATACCAAGCCAAATATTACCAAATAGACCGCATCATGAACTGGCTTAATTTGCTTCTGAAATGCTAATATAAAAAACACTGGAGAACCACATAAATGCAAAATTTTACTCAGTTGAGAAACTGCAAATTATAGCCAAATAAATAATAACAAGGTACAATGAGCTGTGTACCTGAAAATCAATATTTATAAAGCTAGTGGATCTGCAGAAACAAGAGGATCAGAAGCCTCTAATATGAAGGTGTTTTGAGGATAAAAACAAAGTGAAGATTAATTTCTTTTCCCTCTTCACAGGTATCTAGCATATTTGCCTTCTGCATTCCAGAGCTTAGCATAGTTTTACAGCTGTACTAATAATTCTTTTTTTCTGCTCTCTTAACAGGCAGAATTCCTTATTTGTTCTGTATTAAGTCAGGTAACAGCAGGGATAACGATGCTCCACCTTTTGACCATGAAAGGAAGAAAGAGTAATTCACTTACCCGGCAAAATAGAAAGGACAGCCAACTGGAATTAAATGCAACCAACCAGGCCTAATTAAGGCAGATGAGACCAAACTGGAGTATGCTCTTTTACTATCAAGTTTAGATGAACAACTATACAAGAATCAAACAAGGCCTACTCCTGTGAGGTTTGTCAACTAGCATTTCATCTAATACTCTTCAATATGCCATAAAGAAGAGAAGGACTGCTTTAAGACATCAGAACCGTAAGTTTTTAATTCCATTTAAGCAAATGACTATTAAAGCACACTTATGGAAGAGAAAAAGACACTTTAATCACCTAAAATCTATTAAAAACTTATGCTTTACTTTTACTCTAGTTATGCCAACACATTACAGCCAAAATTAAGAGTTCCAGCGTACAAGGTAAGATGGTCCTTCCTGAAAAGTTTAAAGTTCAAACAGAAGAGATGGAGAAAGCATGAGATAAAGAAAGATAATCCCTACTTGATAATATGAAAATGAAGCACCAATCCAAGATCATGGGTAAAGGAAATTCATTTAACTAAAAACTGAGATGAGATTTCTTGAATAACAGAAGAGCTATCCTTTATGACAGCTGTTCTGTTACATTTCAGACTTATTAGCCACATTAGGAGACAACGGTTCCTGGAAAACTGACATAAAAATGAGATGTAAGTGAAAATACTCTAAATTCTTGCAGAATCATACCAAGGCAGCAATTCTCTGAAGACGGACCTCAAAGCAAAGAACTCAAAGCACATATTAACTATTGGCCTTTCACCAATGTTGTATGTGTTACTGCTCCAGATCTACTTACTGTTTGAGATTCAAATGAACAGGTAAGATGAGTGAAGTTTGTAAAAGAGTAATTTATCCCAGGATACGTCCAGAGCTTCTTTAACAAAAGCATAAGCAAGCATAGAAGATCACCTTCTGTAAGAGCCTAAGCATCCAAAAAGCACTGCAATAGGGTTTGGCAGTATCCTCTAGCTATAAGACTAAGCCCTAAAATGTAGTTTTTATATTCGCTGCAGAAAAGTTTTTCAGCCTGCATGACACACTGCACCCCATTTCAGCAGAACATGTATTCTGTGGTGAAGTACTCTATGTACAATTCAAAGAAATGGAACCAAAAAAATCAGCTCAAAGAACTGAATGCTGCTACAATTTTACAATTTTATAATAATCATTTTCACCAGTCATTCATGTCTCTGCTCCCTTGGTTCACTGAAATGACCTGAAAATGAAAACCAAGGCATGCTGTAAAATGTTCTTTTCTCCAGTGGTCACAATATTCAGCCTAACAGATACAGAGAGTTAGTCAGCATCATAATGACACAACTAATTTTTCCTCCCAAGTTGTTGCTGATAATTGCACTGCCCCAAACAGCAAGGGGTGCAGACCATTACTTCAGACGAAGTGATTATTAATTGTCATATCACTTTAAGAGATCATTTGTTAACCAATGGTAACTGAAAAATTGATTTTTTCATAGCTTCTTAAAAGATAACCAAGAACAGCCACCTTTCTTCTAATACCTGAATGTCTATAATCAACCCAAAGAGCTTTTGCCAAGCTCTTTTTCTTTTGTTTTGCCACCTGATAGATACATTTGGACATCTAGAGGCACAATCACTTGACCACATCAGAAAGTCCACAGTAAAAACTTTCTGTATAATCATAGTCATGCTGGAAGATATGAAACAAAACAGCATCAATACTCATGTTGCTTTATTTACAGTTCATCTCCAGAGCCCTTTCAAATCAACACATTGCTTTCTTGCAGGATTATAATATCATGTATTAGGCAGCAGCTGATAACATATGGAGTGATAGCAAATTTTTGCTTAACACAAATGCCAAAATGAATAAAGAAAAAAAATGATGGGCAAGTTGGTGGAAAAAGCTGTAAGGCAAGTCAATTTTTTAATTAAAAAAAATTGCATACCAGATAATGTTAATGAGCCAAAAGTCCCCCGAGACCACTTCTACATGTTCTGCACTATTTTGATGCCCCTGCTAAAGAAGACTGAACCATTCTCCCACAGACCTGGTTGAAGGCATGTTCTTTTTTCAATGTCATAACAAAACTTGCAATCTGAAAGTATCTTATTCATGGGGTTAATTAACTCACTCACTCTTAGTCAGTCAGTTATCAAACTAGAAGTAGAGAAGACAAAATGATCACAAGTCACAAAGTAAAAATTTTCAACAATACCTTTAACTTCTTCATAAATGCTATCATCTATTGGTTCACTGCTCACTTGTCCAACATCATCATATTCCTCTTCCTCCTCAGGAATAGTATTAGATTCCATATCTATGTAACAGCAGTTTAAAAAGTTAACATTCACCAGAAAAGAATGACTAAGCAGAAATTTATGCAAAATGAAAACACATTTCTTCTATGACTTGGTGCTTACAGTATATACTGCTTATTTTCTTATAATGTTAATAAGGGAGAGCTTTCAAGCTAAGCAGTACTCTTGCAGAAAAGCAAAAATCTTGCAAAAGGAGAAAAATCGTATAAAAACTACAACATGACTGAAAACTAGGACTTGCTATTCAGAACTTGGACAACTGGGAATACTATATATGCAAGCATGATAGATATGTTAAGGGACAGAACTACCATCACTAAGCAGTACTGGCAATAAAGGCTACTGCTCTACTGGCTGGCTTACCTTGAATTACAAATTTGACCTGCTGTACCCATTCCTCTGCTTCTTTAGGAGTGGCAGCTGTAAACTATTAAATGTTTATTAATAACTACTAGCAGTAATGACAAACACACAACTACAATTTCATTAGCAATAAAAAAAGAGGGACTGTAGCGTTCTCGTCACATCTTCAAGAAACCATTAGTAATTCTTTTCATGTCTTCTGGTACTTTTCTTGCAAGGATGCTTCTTATAATGTACAGCTAATTTTGACAAATTTACGTAATTGAAGGAGAGGATGATGGATTTGAAACTCTGATCAGCAGCTGGCAGCTGTGCAGAAAAAAGCTGCTTCTCTTCATCAATGTCAAAGCCAGAACTGATGAACAAAATTTGCCCTTGACAATTAGAAGACACCCATGAATTTCTTTAGACTGCTGGGTACAGTTTTCTTAAAAATGTTCTTGTCAGACTCCAACACACTACCTGACAGCTTAATTAACTGGCTTTCAACTGCAATCTCAGATATTTAAAACTTATTAAACTTACATTCCATATTGATGTCTAGCTGATAGATCTCTGAATTGCATAGCTGATATGTGCCTTTACGTAGATTTTCCTTGCAAAGCCATGGCCAATACAATAAGCATTTAACACTGATACATATTTTAACCTTTTTTTTACTATTTAATTCATCCAAGAAATCATGCAGACATACTATACAATAGATATTAAAATGCTAACATTGAAATGACCAATAGATAAAGATGATAGATTTCCTTGTTCTCATCGAAAAAGATAATATTTGAACACATACATACATATTTTAAATCAGATTTTTTTCCCAATATATGAATATACAATAGAAGCAAGCAAGGGTTTCCTTTTTTCATTAAGATGTCAGTGAAAGTTGTTTTACTGAAATGTTAATTCAGTAACTGGAATTGTAACAGCTTTATCAATTTAATTTCAAGTCAACATAAAAAAGTCCAACCTGATAAATGCGCTTATCAGGAGCAGAGATTTCAAAACAGCAATCTTTCTTTGCATCCTTCCGAAGGCTATTATTCATTCTGACGGTGTAGCCCTCTAAGGCAAATTCACCTTTCTGTTGTTTGTCTGTTGGAGATAAAAAACAAAGTTAGAGCTTCATTTACAACAGTGAATGTAAGTGGCTCAGCAGGTTATCGCTTATTCAGATTTTGTTTTCTATTTCATCAATTTTACAAAGAACAAGGAGGTTTTTAGCAAAATGATTAACTGATGCTTCTGGAGATAAAGCTTTATCTTAAAAGAAGAGGTACACAAAAGTACATTTTCCTCTAGGATGCCTAAGGAATTCCACAGGGGGATGTTTGCAGATGGTGGTCTTATTTAGTAAGAAGTGCATGTTATGACACCTGTATCTAGGGAAAGCCAAGAACTGGAACTTGCAAGACACGTTTCCTATAAATCAGTGTCTCTTTCAGGTTCGGTAAACCAATGGGAAAACCTGTCTAGCTTAGAACTTGCTGAGCTGCCTCCTAAACTAACCACTTCACTCAAAAAATAAACTTCAAACTCCTTTTTAAGCAAAAGCTTCTTTTCACATTCTCCCACCCACTCCCAGATGTGCCTCCTTTCCACATGGCAAAAATACAGAATGGATTTTGTTATAAATTCAGGTGTGTGTTCCAAAAGCATTTCTCTCAACACAGCAAACGTTTAATTAGCTAATAAAAGTACTGAGCCCTACCACAGTTTATTATGTAGAGCCATGTGGTTGTTTTAAAGACAATTCTACTTTTCAAAGGTTCTGGTTTATAGAAGTATCACTTAGAACAGGCTCGAGTTTAAATATACTGCATGTTAGGCAAGTGTGTTCCTTCTGAGCTGTCCAGACCAAACCCTACATCTGATTTTATGTGCTCTGGTACATTTAGGTGAATATTAAAAACAAACCAAAAAAGTAAAAGTAATTCTGTTTTGCAGTTTCTGTAGATCACAGTGCAGCATTCAAGTGAAGATAGGCATCATCGGTCACATTTTGCTCAGGCAAACAAAGAACAAAGTGCAGTTGCAAATGAAAGAAAATGCCATTAAGTGCAGATTTTTTGCCATGGCAGAGAAAATCATTAATTAACAATAAGCATCAAGCACAACAGCAAAACTACTTTTAAGTACTGCCGAACAGAACTTAGGCGCAAATCGAACATCCATTGCTTATGTTTGTCAACAAAAAGAGAAAACTTCTACAGTAGATAAACCAGGAAAAACTATAATTTTCAACATAATTTTGTCATCTTTCTGGAAATTTAATAGGAAATCAATTTTTTTTTTCCACTACTGAGAGGACAAAAATTGACTAACACAGCAACATAAACACCAATGAACATAAGGGCAGTCATCATACAAATAGTCTTGCTAGTAATCTTACATGTACATAGACACAAATTCTTTGTCCTTCCACCTTTTCAGGAACTCTCACCCCAGGCAAGTAAATACCAAATAACACAATTATATGAGAAAATCCAGGGTATTGTTCTATTTTCTCTTCTAGTCCCTTCCCCCACAGTAAGTTTTATTATATCTTAAGTACTAATGATATAGTACTAATATTTTATATTTGTTCAATCCTTCACCCCTATATCAAACAGCACACAGACGCAAAATTCATGGAATCACACCAAGGCAGATATTTGAAATAGTAACTTGCAATAGGTTAACTAGGTCCCCTTTCAATGAAATTCATTTCTGCCTAGAAATTTTATTGTTTTCTCACTTGCAACCTCAGGGGGAAGATGAAGAAAAACACAGTAATTTCTCATTCTCCTATGCTAGAGGTTTATCAAAACCCAAGAAGATAGGAGGACCCAGATAGAATAAGCAAACACCAGGTTCAAAAGGTAAAAACACTTTGTCAAGATAAAAATGAGGCAAGTATTCAAATTCAGTCTTTTGGATTATTTCTGAGACTGCTCCTCTGTGACATGGATGATCCCTTTTATGGTAATACAATTTTACAGAGCTAATCTCAGATGATCTCTGTACTAGTACTCGTTCTTTCAAAGAGCATTACAATTAAAACACAACGATGCTGTACTTTGCACTGAAAGTGGAACACGGTACATGGTATCCATATTGCATTTGATTGTTTTATTATTTATACTGTCTTTGTCTTATCTCTCTGAATACGCTGTTCCAGCGCTAATGAAAATTATCTATACGCATCACAAAAAAAAAAAATATATCATTTGCTATTAAATTCCTTCACTGACCTTTATGGCAACAGACTAGTCATAGTATTGCTACTTTTGCTTCTAATTGCCTGTGCAGTAAAGTACCTCTGATTAAAGTCCAGTGTAGCGTTACACGTATGGTTAAAATGTTGACCATGAGGAAATTTTAAGGTGAGACATTTCACAGGCCTGACCCAGAACCCATTAAAGTTGACAGAAACACTCTCAGTATGCATTCACACTCCCTGTGGCAGCAAGCCAGAGATAAGACCTAGTATGTCCTGAGAAACAGCTCCACAAATACCGAATGGCAGGACACAGGTCAGCTGTAGCTCAGCTGCATGCTCTGATAGTGACAAGCAATGGAGGTCTACAAATCCCAGTTGCTCTTGCAGAATACACCTTTCCAGGTAGGACTGGAGACCAGCCCCATCACCTGAGCACCATGGAGCAAAGCATGACCCACAGTAGCTGTTTGGCCAGGCACAGTACCCAGGTGCAGGCTTGAAGGCAGGGCCATCTTGCAATCATCAGACTCAACAATCATCTCTTTTTCATTTATTGGCAAAGGCTTGCAGCTAAGTAGGTGTGCAGACAGACTTGGGCTTTCAGTTTAAAGCTGCTCTGTGAAGTTAGTGCTACAGTGACTTCTGTGAACTTTCACATTCAGAGTTATATTCTTTATATCAGAAATATCTTCTGGAGACAGTGCTTTAGGGAGAGTTAAACCGGTTTTGATATTTAAAAACTTTGAAGACTTAAAGATTTTACTTGGAGACTTAAAATTAGACATAGTTGTTTTTTACAGCGGGAGTGTCAAAAGTAGCTTCAAGAAGCACATTTACATTACAGACATTTCACTTTCACTTTGAACCCCCAATCAGAACCGGAGTTTTGCCTAGGCAGGAATACAACAGTATATTTAGGAGGAACTAGGGAGAGACATGTGGATGGAACACACTTCTCTGAAGAACAACAATATTCTTGCTGCCACTTATTTTCTCAAGATAGGGCTTTGCAAATCAACAACAGAAAACCCTTAAGCTGTCCCAGAACAATATAGAACAGAATTGCAAAAAGTATACTATCAGTCTTGCAAAACCAAAAAGGATCGCGAACATCATCAAGCATAAGTTGTTCCACAATTAAGTCAAATCTCATTTCAGAATAAGCTGTTCTTTGCTCTCATCTCCTCCCTCTCCTCTTCCCTTCTCCCCATATCAGGCACACAACAGAAAAATAAATCTGGGGCTGCATAGATCATTTTGCATCAGGAATTTAGAATTGTAAAAAGCTGGTATAACAAAATTAGGCACTAAGTATTAAAAAAAAAAAGCCAAAGCTAGTACATAGATATTTGAGAGAAATAAATATGAAGGGCTATATTTAAAATAGCGAAAATACAGATCCGAATGAAATGAGAGCCACTTTAAACATTTTTCTTACATATAAACTTCATTCTTCCTAAAAATAGTGAAATGTTGTTAACAACAGAAACAGAGCCAATATTACACTGGGAAAAAAGTGTCTCAAGGGAAGCAGAAAAAAAGGGTTTTGAAGTAACCTTGCATAACTGAGTCCATGGGAACTTTTAAAACAAAGAAGGGTAAACCTTCAACGGGGTCTTGAAATGATTGGGTTGTAAATTTGAGGCCTAAGGCAATGTGCCCATATTATTAGCACATGTAAAAAGAATTAGTGCATTCTGAACAACTGAGAGAACTTGGACAGTAGAAAGGAAAGAAGTTACAGAGAAAGGCATAAGGAACAAAGGCAAACAGAAAGATTTCAGAGTGATAAAGTATTTATAGATACTATTAGAATCTATAATTTAACTCTCTTCATCTTGAAATTAGGAGCCTGTAAGATCTTATGGTTTACATGGTTTCATGCTAAACGTAGTTTCTCATACTTTTCCATATGCAGGATGTCTGCTTTCTAAAAATAGTGTCAGTATCTCCAAAATGGTAATTCCTTTTCCAGCTTTTGGAACAGTCCTTTCCAAACACATGCATAGGCGTTCTTCCCTTTTAGATAGCAGATCTGAAATGCAATCAGCTGCTTTTTTTTTCCTCACCTCTTTCCTTTAATCTAGTCCTCTGAGAAATCTAAATTAAAAAAAAAATTAAGAAATTGAGGCAATGATTGAAACACACTATTTAGGGCACCAGTTTGTTTATACTCAATAGTTATTTTTTAAATAATGCACTATTAATGGCAAGTGTGCCTCTTGAGGTCTGAATTTAACATTCTCATAGCAGAAAATTCAGTACTCATTAGATAGATGTCTTTGATTGCCATTACCCTGCTACAACAAAGTCCTATTGAACATTCACAATTCCTGCAGATTTCAATTATGGATTCTGTCAAAAGTAAAGTCTAAGCTAAACAAGGATTTTTGCCTTTCCTACGTGGTGGTTCAGAGAGGGAGGACTCCGAGAAGGAGGTCAGTAGCTAAAAGCAAAATGATACTTCAACAGCTTTCCAGTGGGTTTGGATATCTCTTCTCACTCCTACAAGGAGAAATTTGCAAGCTTAGCATGTGGCAGAAATTCTAGTAGCCTGGTTAGGTGAGTCACTAGGGCAGATTTGCAAATGCAATTCTAACCAGGCTTCCCTCTCCCTTAATATTGTTCAGTCACCAAGTTCTTCAAAAAAATAAAACACAAAATAAAACAAAAACCCTCTTTTGAATAAATAGAAGTAGTCCATCCATTGGCCTGGCCATCACTATCTTACTGTTCAGAGAAATCAGAAATTTTCATGTCTGTTTTATTTTATTTTTAACATAAACTCATGCTTTTCTAAAAGCCTCTGAATTATCCCGCTCCTCAACATCATATTCACTGGTAGGCAAGCAGATACCATTTTCAAGTTATAAAAATGAAAATAAATTTTTAGTGCCTATTAACAGGGGAAAAAATTACCATGATGTTATCAATTACTGTCTTGCTAAACATTTAGCTGATCTCTCCGGTCTGCTGAGACAGAAGGGCATATAACATTGTGGCCTAGTGAGGAAGAAGAAATGAAGCCATTAATTCATTCATTTATAAAGCAACAAATTAACTTTCTTTCCTCACATGCACTTTGAGGTCTGAAAGGTTAGCCATAGGTGCCTGAGTACACAGGAACTGCCAGAGCTCATACAGAAAAAGGATATGCAAACAGGGTACCCAACTCAGGATGCAACTGCATGGAAGCAAAGAAAAGAGAAGGACTATAAAAGGTTTATGGAAGGAAAGACTATGAAAAGGAGGACCAGGCAAGTTTCTCGAAACCCAAGCCAGCTCTGACATTTGAACACGCTTCTCTGCAATGTTGTGGGCCGCATGCTGGCAACAGATATTGCAGCACAAGCACAAATATACACATGCTTCCTGCAATACTTATTTTTGACACGCAATCAGGTCAAATCTTTAAGCCTTGTTCCTCCATTTACTCCCCATATCACTGATGAGAGGAAAAAAGCGCAGGTGATTCGCTTAGACTTGCCTATTGCAGGGATAAATAACATTGTTTCATTATCCAATGCTGCACCACATGTATGAGGAAACAGAGGAGGAAACAGGGAAACAAGACATCCATTAGCCTGCAGGCATCAGAACTGTTAAAAGAATGTTTAGGTGAACACACATACACAAACACACAGTAATTTACTGTATTTTCACAGGCTTTAGCTTGTACTGTATTCTGCTGGACTAGGCCTCATATTTTTCACCATTCAGCTCTGAATCAATGACTCAAACTTTTCCTTGCACGTGTTTGTGAACTTTAGACACTTCCATACTTCCTGTTTTCCCAATGTAAAAAGGAGAAAACTAGAAGAATTAGAAGTGTTTTGGGAAACAACAAATCCACAGAACCTAATAAAAAGGCATCTATAGCCTCACATTTAGCATTCAGTTACATTTACACCGATATTTAAGTATGAAAATCAAACCTTGGCCAACAAAATACACACTGCACCAGACACAAAATATCGTTCACAGATTATTCGCCTACGTGTCCAGTTTTAAAGACACACACAATGTGTTCTAGGCCAAGCAGGACCTAGAATTCCCTGCCGCCTCTCTGCATTACATCCCACAACACACAGGCACTAGCACTCCATTACCTATTAAAAGTGATGCAGGCAGCAGGACTGAGCACGTATGGAACCCCCGTCTCTCTTCAAACCACATTCACATCAATGAAGGGGAATTTTCCTGTTGCGTGAATCAGCCCTGGAAACACTCAGAAGCCAGGGTCCAGCTGACACAAAACATCTGCAGACACTGCACTGGTGAGAGCAGACCGGCATCGTTTAGATAGACCCATCCCAATGATGCAGGAGGTGGCAGCAATTTGCATGAAGCTACCCAAATGCACATTTCAACACTGTTCTACAGTCGGTAAGAACACACATTGATTTTTGACGTGGTCCAAGTTATCTGGTACAGCATCAAGGGTCACAGCAAAAGAAGAAGGGCCCCAATACAACAGTGTACTACAGCAGGTACCACTGCTGGCCATAATAGCGGGAGGGAAAACAGTTTCAAGTTCTTCCAGTGACTAAATGCCACATCTCCTCAGGATTGTCTCATCACACACCTCATCCATGCTGACAATCTGCAGCTAAACATCATGATAAACAGTAGCACATACGTTCACAACCATCAGGATGACAGCTCAATTTCAAGAGCAAGCTTTGCCATGGAACTACAGCAGTCGCTGGTATCCAGCTTCCGCACAATGATGGTGATATGCTTCTGCACTGGCACAGGCACCTGTATGCACAATGGCATCAGAAGGCTGAAGAAAGAACCTCTGACCAGTCCAGAAAAAAAAACCCTTTCTTCTTCAAAGGCAAGTTCTGGAGTAACTGTTGGTCATCCTAGATCTGCAAGACAAGACGATTCCACCACGCTGCTCTAGTTTTTCTGCACTAACAGCACCAGTCACATGGAGGTAGGGCAGAAATTCATGCACCTGATTTGTTTGCTTCCTCCATGAGCTACTATCTGGAGTCCAGACATGCCTATACAATTCCCATGGAGTACATGCCTCTCCCACATCATTAGGTTACCGTTAGGAGGATCTTCCTCAAACAATCTGCAGCCAACAAAAGCTGTGAATGTATAAGGCAAAGCATCTATCTATAGATCCATAAAGGAAAGAGATCCCACAGTATTTCAGAGTCAGTTCCTAACAAGACACCAACCTGTGGAGTGCTAGGGAATATGCTTCCGTGGATCTTAACTTTCAGCATAGGTATTAGAAGTTACAACACAGTCTTGACAGTCAGGTTGTTGTAAAAGAGGTAAAAAAAAAAAAAAAAAAAAAGATGGGAAAAGGGCAGGTAGGCAGTTTTCCTGCTTTAATCCAAAGACCATATGCTAGAAAGCATAAATAATCATTAGCATAGACACAAGAAAAAAAAATGTAAAAAAAAAAAGCTTTTTTTTTATTTAAAGGTTGTTTGATTTGACTGTCAATTTTTAAAATCCAAAGTGATATTCCAACATTCATGCCACATTCTTTCTAAACTGGCCATTAAAAGGTAAAAGTCACCTTCAGAAGCTAGCTTGAGCCTCCATGACTGGCTTTTAGTCAAATATATTACTTCATTTCTAGTTTTTTCAGAACAAACTATTTAGAAAGAAACATAGAACTCCACTATACAGTTTTTAACATTTAACATTTTCCTGGATAGAACCATCTTTAAAGAACTCAGAAAGTATAATTGCTAGAGAGTGTTTTACAATTAAAATACAATATGGACAAAAAAATAATTTTCTGTGTAGTAAATCAATTGAGTACCAGCATGCTATCAAACATAATAGCTAGCTGCTATTGGCGCACAAAGTAGCTTTACAAGTAACTTAATCTTTTTTCCTCAGTCTCCCTGCTTTAGAAAATGAGCATTTCACTTACAGGTTCTGAAGAATATTTACACATTTTTACAATTCACAGCACTGTTTAAGAACCAAATATTCTTTAAAAAAAAAAAGTTTCATTTGTTTTCTTAAAATAACCTTAGATTTGCAGTTTCCAACTCCACTAAAGCTTTCATATTCTTCCGTGCATTAAAATATCATTTTTATAGTTTAACATAATTATTATGATTACCTTTGTCGCTTCCATAATAATAGAAGACCGTCTTACTGATAGCACACCAACGCTTCTGCCATTCAAAGCCAAGAAAACTGTGGTCTGCAATTAATATAATTTCTGTTATATCACCTCATGTCATTATCGAACACAAACATGTTACTTCTTTTCAAGGGTGAGGTAAGAGGGAGAGGGAGGCAGGAAAGGCACTAAGGAAAGGAGACAAAATCTGGATATGAAGAAGAGAAATGTATGACACTAAGAAGGAAATTAGAAATAAAAGTTGGTCATAAGAAAACAAATGGGAATTTGAAATCACATAAAGAGAGAAGTCATGTGTAACATTAAATATAAGGAAATAATGAACAACTTCCTAAATATTTCCTAGAGTTATTGCAGCATTAAGTGGGTATTAAAGTGACAATAAAAGATTTATTGAATCAAGGTAAATATTGACTGAACCAAAGCTGAGATCAATATTTGCCCTCTCAAAGGAAAATAAATCTTGATGCTCACTGAAACATGAAGTCAACACATGGTACTTTTACGTACGTTCCTAATGTTTTCTTCAAGAATATCTGAAAATCTCTGAATTATGGCTGACAGTGGACTTTCATAGCATGATTTTGTTAGTCAATAAATAGGATTTTCTTTTAACACTACAGAAACAATTACATGCTGTACTTCTTTTGCATAATAATGCTTCAACACTTCAGCTTCCATTTAATTTTATTTATCACTCCTCTGTTATTTTTGTGTATAACATCAAATACTGACACAGAGACTTCCCAGATACAAAATATGCACTAGTTTTCACAAAGGTAGTTAGACTTACCTTTTCTGCGTTTTTCCAGGTATCCAGCCTTCAGAACAAACTGAAGATCCTGAGCTGCAATAGGAGGAAACTGATTCCCTGAAAGAAAAATAAATTCTGTAAAGTGCTGCTTTTCAAGAAAAATGCTATAGTAGTATTAATAAACTTATGGATTTTACATTCTCAATATGCAGGAGCTACTGGAAAAAGTAATTCTAGTAACTACTCCACCAGATTATTTTAAGTACAAAAACCCTCTAACTATAAATGTCAGAGCTGTTGCTGCTGTCCTCACCACTTTAGTAAGGAAAAATATAGCCGTGTAGTAGGCCCTTCAAGCCTCAGAAGGAAAAATATGTAATTAAACAAGCTACAGCAACTTAGAAAAACATTAGTTTGCTTTTTGAACCTGGTCTGTAAAGCAAGTTGGATAACCAAAGCAGTAAGTTTGCGAACAAAACCAAGTATCACAATTCAGCAATGTGGTTTTCAATACCAGCTTTGTACAAAAACATCCTGAAACAACATACAACGTGAGGACCTTCCATTACACCGTCTACAAAAAAAAGAAACCAGATGAATAGACGATAAAAGGTGATGCCTGCTGTTAACAGACATTGCCTAATTTGCAATATGACACAAAATTACTGCCTACAGGATCTATAGGGCGATACTGGATAGACCAAAGATACTGCACGTAAGTCTACAAAATTGTTGATCTACAGATACTAATTTTAAATTTTGTAGATCATGGCTGCATCTCCAAAATGGTGAGTATGTTCCACTATATTTTTTCCTTTTTCTTAACTGCTAATTCATAGCTAGAAGCATGGGACTGACCAGTTGACCCTGCCTCAACTTAAAACAGAAATCCAGATGTTAAAAACTGCATCTTCCATCCTGCATCCTTCCCCTCCTAAAATAACAGAATTAGGATTTAAATGGAACTCCTAGTATTATGAACAGGAATATGTTAGGTATGTCTAATAAATAACATGTATATAAACGTCATACTGTTTACCACAAGCAAAAAAGCAGAACAAAAGCTATTCCTGTGCTGCTGGTTTTTTAAGTGCATGTGAGCATCACAGTGAAGTTCCTACTACTTATTATCATCAAATATTCATAAGAGTCACTGTAGGTAGGTGGCAAGTTTACAAGGCAGCAATTATTCATCAAAATATATGTAATCTCATTAAGTTCTACCAATAAAAACATACAAAAACCAACTGATATCAGCAGACAACTCCTGTGCTAAAAAACCTCTTTAAACTATGCAGTGTGGGTTAAAGATCAATTGTCTGACCTTGAACTAAGAGCACCCTCTGGAAGGTGATGCCAACTTCCTGCATTTTTAAGTTGTCCTTTAAAATAGAGGGGTTTTTTAATCAGTGTCCACAAATGAGGTGGTTTATGGTGGTCTTATTTAAATACAGTTGTGAGAGGAAAAAGACAAGAAAAAGAAATAGGAACATGCAGAGAATATTATTTTTTGAAGTATGAAAATACTCAAAATGAGAATGCATTCCTTAAATAATACAACTGGCTTTTTAGACAACAAAAGAATTTGTTGAATAACATCAGGCAGTAGATAGAATTTTATAGAAATTGACATTTCCACTGAACTTTTTTTAGTAATATTATTTTTAAAGATAGGAGTATATGAGCTATTATTTCAGTTTCTACGGAACTCTTACTATTGTGTTAAAAACACAAGAGTTATTGGCTCCATGTACATGCATTATAAAATGATACAGCTGTCCCGCCTTGCTTGATAATACACAATCACTGGACAACATGAAATGAGAATTTAACACGAAGACACTCACTGGCTGGTACATGATAAATTCAAGAGTTACTTAAAAAGATGATCTAATGATGATATTATGAGTGGGGGAGGTGAAGAGTTTTACAAATACACATAGTGTGCTGCTTTATATTGGTCATTGGGAGGCATCAGTGTGCAACACTTACAGCTTTACCTCATCCAGTAGGGCTCATTTTAGAACACTGCACAGATGTGGATGACATAAAACCTAATGAAACAAAACCAGGTCACTCAATTTTTTTACTTTAATAACTTCAACTATTATTTGGATCTAACTTTATACATTATTGTTTCTATCAGGTTGAGTTTTGATGAGGAAGCCTGGCAAGCAATCAATTTAGTGAACAGTCAAATCAAACGGGACATATAATCCCAGAGAAGCACATACTTCGGGGGCTCCTTAATATTATTCTGCCTGTAGGGAGAAGCTCACCTGAACTGTCTACTTCAGAAAGTCAAAATTCCACTCTCAGTTTTGCTACTTCTGCTAAGATAAGTTGGGATAAATTTGATGATGGCATTTTCTGAAGCTACATTTACTTTGCATAGGGCACTGAAAGCTTGCGAGGAAAAGAACCTGCATGAAAAAAGGCAATCTTCCACTGTTACGGTGACACTGCAGAAAGAAGTTCTCCTCCCACCCTCAACCTGTAGAGAAGCCAGTTTCTTCTTCTGTTCCTCAAAGCAATGGAGGCAGTAACTCCACAAAACAAGCAGCAGCTGGTCAGCCCCACTGCCACTCACAATCTGTAAGTAGCTGAAGCAGAAACAGATCACATGCGTATTATCATCATCCTTCTGTCAGAGAAGCCTGAGAACCAAAAATTATGATGGAACTTTAGTGGAAGGGCAGGAGAAATGGACCCAGTTGTAATATCCCAAGACACATACAGCTGTACATGAAAGGAAAAGCATAAATCCAGCTAAATTCCTTCTTTCATTGCCCCGTACCTCGAGAAGGAAGGGGAGGGAGAATAAGTAGCATGAAAAACATAAAGGAAAGAGAAAGAACCGCCTCCTCTCAGATTCACATTAACCGCAGGTGTTGTGCATATGTGGCAGAAAGAAGGCACAAACACAAACATACTCTTAGCCCTGTACTGCAACAAAAACAGTAAGAGGAAGAAAGAAGAGAGAATGACGCCTTCCTTAGAGCTACTGCCTAGAGTCAACATGGAAGACTCCTAAACTGTGTCACCTTTCTACCTTTCTTCCATTTTTTTCATTGCTTTACTCTCTTGTCCACATCTCAAACAGGATTGAGAGTGAACTGCAATCCCTAGATGTGGGAATTCCCAATTGAAAGTTTGGAATTTGCATAGTAGGTTGTTTTTTGCAGTTGCTTTCAATCAAAATGTTGCTTCCCCATTCATTTGAAATAGATCAGGCTTGACACAAATCTCCTAAAAAAAAAATATCACTAGAGCAGTGCTTTGTTATAGTCAAGCAGCATTTGTTTACATCACACTAGCAGCTGAGATCAGAGACTCATCAGTTGAGTACTGCATGGGATTTTGAATAAGACAGCTCCTTCTACAAAGAATCTATTTAACACAGAGAAAGACTGCCAAGAAAGAAGGCATTACTATTTTTTTAATAAAGAACTGTGAAGCAAATTAAACAACATGCTTCAAATCACATACTCCTTTAGAGTTTAGAGCTCTGAATTCCCAAATATTATACTCCCATGCACACCCCAGGATGTCTTCATGACAAGGAAAATTTTTCCCTTCCCTCATGGATGCAGCTGAAACAGTCTGAATTCCAATTTCCTCCAATTTCACTGGAGATTGTCCACTGTAAGAAATGTAATGCAGAGATGCAAGGAGCTTGCATCACAGGGATGCAAGACAGCACCTACTGGTATTAATTTTCTTGGGTGTCTCGGTGATTGTTGCTCAGATAGTTATGGTCAAGCTGACTACTAGATCAGAGCAAAATTTCTCTCCTAAAGTCAGACCAGCAGAGACCATCATGTCTTCCTACCTACTTCCTACCTCTGTATGGTCTGTTTCCAGATATAGCTCAAGGATTTAGAAATAAAGATGTTAAAAAGGCCCATAGCCTTCCCTGGTTTCTCCTCTAGTACTCTGTAGTTTTTGAAGTCAATTTTAAATGTCAGAGTAAAGTGGCACTGCAAGTCAAGAAGTGCTCTGTAGCTTGCAGCTGTGAGGCGAGTTTACAGGTGGAGAAAGGTACAACAATTGCTCCTGTTCACCCTTCCAGACCTAATTTCTGCTGTATCATTGCCCTGACAGTGGTGGGCGACCACAGAGTTGAGGATACAACAAAGGTCTCCTTTCCATTCTTGAGTTTCTATCTCACAAATAATGTCTTGAATATTATTCTTTTGATGTGAAAACCAGATCAATACTACCCAATACTTGGGGAGATGGTTATCTTGCATCCCCAATATATAGTATAAAATGAGGGAGGTCCATCTGCTTAACATTAAAGGTTTTCCTTCTTTCTTGACCACCCACTCACAGATGAATCTCCCAGAGTAATTTCTCTTCTTATCCTGATGGGAATTACTTCAATGTACTCCAAACTAAAATCTGCAAGCTACGCTCCACATGCATATTCCCAGACGGATGCATACAAAGGCCATCAAAGACCAGATCAAAATATTTATGAGGCCTAAACCTTGAAGTTTTAGAGAAAAGTAAATTACACATCTAATGTACCAGGCTCTTCCTCTTGGTACTACGCACTCTTGTGCCAAGTGAGCAGCTGGCAGTTATTATAATGCTATTGCTGCCAGGCTAAAAATTCCTCCAGTGAAAAGAAAGTGAAATGCTCTCACTCAAGCATAAAGACAGCTTTTCTACCAGTCATGCTTTGACTTCAGAAAAATATAAACCTTATTAACGTAGGTGTATTAATGTACAGGTTCCACTGCACAAACCCCACAAATCCAGTGCATCTTGTGACTTCAGAAAGACCTCAGACTACAGCTTATGGCACAGTTACAATTTTTGCAATTTGGTAATCAGTCAAAAGCCTGAATGATGGAATTTTTCACCCTACTGCAATAGTGAATTTGGCCCATTACTTAAAACCAGTTTTATCAGTGTCACTTCACATGATAAAGCATGAAATTCAGCCATTATGCATGGCATTTTTATTTTTCAAGGACCCAAAGATGCCAAAATTTCATTCTGTATACAAAATAAATAAAACAAAACCAGGTTGTATTATTTTGCACTGTATACCAATAGGAATATTTTTTATTTCTGCAATGTGGGCTAAGGGATACATAAAGCAAGAA